TTCTATGGGCTTTTCGGGCGCTTTTGGGCTTTTTGGGGCTTTTATGGATGCTTTTTGGGCTTCTCTCGGCGAAGTAAGACGGGTTCCTCTGACTTCGCTCAGAAGCGCCCAAGAGCGCCCAAAAATCCTCGACAACCAAAATGCCTTTGATCTTTTTCCATAAAATTTCTCCTTACACACGTTTCGCACTTTCTAAATGCGCTAATAAGCTAGCGCGGAACGTGTGAGGAGAGATGAGGGAAATGTAAGGAGAGAAGGCAGTGGATCGGCAAAATGGACCTTTCTCGGATTTCGGTGGGTTTAGATTGTAGATCGCCCACGTGCAATGTAGCCCAAACACTACATGCCATCGAGTACTATGTACTGTAAGACGTGCTTCTAAACTACTCGCCCACTCAGTGGAAGTGGGCGGGGTTGGTGGAGTTATGAAGCGCGTTTTTCAGGATTTAGCTCATGAACTGGCAAGGGGGGGGGTTGGCTACAGTTTACTTTGGGGTGAGGGAGGGGGGGGGAGTCTACACCTAAATCTACCAGAATTCCAGAAGGGTCCGTTTTGCCGATTCACTACCTTCATGCGCTTTAGTGCTTTTCGTCTCACAGGTGCTTGAATGTTTCGTTTTTTCATGTGATGGTGCGCAAATTTGAGTGCATTCCTGCATTTAATTTAAAAGTTTCTCTGTTATATGAACGTTTGCTCATACAGCCTGAGATCATCTGCCGTTGAATAGGAAAGGGACCGGGGGAATACAATGCTGCAGCTTTTTGCCGTTGTGACTGTCAAAGGCAACTGGAAATCATAGTAACCTCAACTTTTCGTCTACATCTTCTTTTAGGCTTACTGGAGGTTTGTAGCATAATCCTGGCAGCTGTTTTGACGAAAGTTCTCAAAAATAAGACTTCAATTTCTGACTATCACAATGAACGTGACTACAAGTTTTTTTTCAACCGCATCCTCAAACCTTCTTTTTCCAGTTATCGATTTTTTCTTCGGTGTTGATGTCAGCGGTTTTACAAAGCCTTTGACTGAGGCATTTTTTATTTCGAATGTCTGACCAAGTTCTTGCTCCAATCATTTTTAGTCTGATCTGAGAAACTTGCCTCTGAACTCATCAATAGAGGTACACCATTTGAGACCGTGTCGCTTTCGTCACAAATCAGAGACTATGGCTTAGGCTCAAGCTTTGCCGCTCTTTTACTATTCGCATCTCTGTAATCATGATTATACGAAAGGACTAGGTTTATGCCACTTTTTTATGTTTGCTTAGTGTGACTAGTTTCTATACTTTTACAGCTCCCTTCTATGTCGATTTGGTAATTTTATTTGGTAATAGTGGAGTTTTCAGGGCTGGTACATCACAGACACATATGCTGCTGAACAGGACATTACTTTTCCTAGGTGAGGCGTTTTTCTTCATTCTTCCCATTTTCTTCATCTTTCCATCGGCAAGTTAGTGGAGTATTCAGGGCTGGTACATCTGAAGCACAGATGCTGCTCGAGAGCACGTTGGGTTTTCCCAGGTGAGGTGCCCTTCTTTTCAGCAACCTCATTCCTTGATGAATGACACTTGCGTACTTAGCCCTAGGCTTTATATGCTACGAATAATTTGCGGTTATTTGAGACGCCAATTTTAGAGTTGAGCGGTTTGAAGCATCTGCGAAAATATCGACTTAGCTTGGCAGCAATTCCCATTCGTCCGCCTGAATGCACATCTTTGTACAAAATCTATATGAGGTGAGCCAATAACAACTTTCATTTGTTTGTATGCATACCAGGGTTCAGATATCGCCGATAGCCTACACTCTACAACCGTTGCTTCAATGAACCGAATTTTGCGCAATACTACCAGAAGCATTTTTGAAGTTCAAGTTCAGTTCAGGTTCAGTTAATTCCTGTACGCCTTTCCTTTTTATATGATTAAATCTGACCTTGTTTGCAGGTATTAACTCCCATCGGGCATGTCTTCGCAGTTGTATGTCAGTTCCCAGAGGGCATCTGTTACCTGCTGCAGTCATCTAATGCCAACGGCGTATGCCCTCAAGTTAAATCTGTCTACTCCGATGATAAGACACGGTACCTTCGTATGTATTGAAAAGATGGAAAGTATCACTTAAATGGACCTGATAAAACTCTGCATATTCTCACTTGGTTGTCTGAAATGTCTGGGTGAATTCTGTTCCACACATTGTATGATTCACATATCTCTTGTGGCAACAAAAATATAGGGAGCTACAGCGTATCCCCTAATCACTGACGAAAGGCTGTGAACTGGAATGAAAAGCAGAGTCAGTAACGAAAACAGACTGACGGGACTGACATCCAACCTACTATGCATCAACAGGCACACTGCATCAATACAGCATTAAATGGAATACTGATTTGAATATACAGTGATTTTGACCGATATGCGAGATAGTCAGATACCCAAATACCTGCATATGCGATACTCTACTCGAAAAGTAATGAATGAATGTCAGTAATCGATGGAGAGTAAGCTTCTTCTCTACACACTGTATGGTTCACATACACATTTTTGATGTGACAACAAACAGTGGCTGAGGTTGCAGCAAACTCATCAAAAAGACATTCGAATTCAGTAGCACATGAGAGAAAATGTTAGGAAAAAACAAATGAAAAAAATGAAAAAAAATTGACTTACTTCATAACACTCGACCAGCATGTATGACGCAGCAATTGCAGCACAAACTGAAATAATGATAATGAATGTGTAACACCGATTTCGTTTTGTTATCCCAAGTACTTATTTTTACTGGATATTCCACGGACATGGTGAAGTAAAACTGTTGCGCATGCGCAGCTCTACTCAAACTGGATGATTACGAACTAAACGATGGTGAGTAAGCTTCTGCTCCACACACTGTATGGTTCACACACCTATATTTGATGTGACAACAAGCAGCGGCTGAGGATTAGCAAACTCATTGTGAAAGTGAAACAGTACACTCATAAAAGCGTCATTGACGAAACCAAATAGGAGATACCTTACTTCCTAAACGGCATGTAAGACGAGATACACAGTAGAGATGTAGTAATAGTGAATACATTAGCAGCTGAATATCCCTTTTCACGAATACAGTGGTTAAGATTGAATTCCGTGTCCAACACGCAGACGTCGCAGGCACTCGCATTTTCGAAAATGCATCTCGTCCATTTAAAGGATGGACGTTATACGGCAGGCGCATAGCGACGCCGAGCGCTGGAGGGTGTGGCCTTCATCCACTCCTTCGTAATTGGTTTTGTCGCCTTCCGGACTACACCCGAATAGATGGCGCCTGCCGAAACGAGCGGACTGATAGGTCCCGGCACGCACCAACGACGTCGCGCGACGCACGATAGCTTTTATTAGCTGGCTTCCGACGCGTCTTCTTTGAGCGTTTTCTAGGATATGGTTTGCTTCAGACAAGATGGCTTTGAAAAACCTACACAATTCTTCCCTAATACGCTTCCCAGAGCCATTCCGTCAATATAACCTCGTTTTATGCTTTGAAATGCTCAGATACGGCAACCCATGCTTTGATTTCGCAACAAATTCACGTTATGTCCAATTTTCACCGCATATTTTGAATGAATGTGTTTCGATTTCTGAAATTCCTTCAAGTTTTGCAACGAAACTTTGTAATTGAACTCTGCTTTTAATAAGAAAGGTAAAATTGCACGCTGCATCTTTAGCACCGTATATGCTTTACGACTTTGGAGAACTTCCCCATCAGTATAATAATGGCCACTTCGAATTAACCGAATACCGAGTTCATTTCATTTTTGGCCTGGAAAGCACAGATTTCCGCATAAAAAAGAATGACTCTTTCAGTACAAACTTTTGCAAAAAAAAAGAGACTCTTCGAATATCACTGTATGAAATGCTTTCTTATCTATTCCTGTTCGGCAACGAGCTGCTAAGTTTACTACATTGTATACGCACACAATTCTCTTCAACACTTCTCCACATATGCTCACATTTCGTGCAATAACTGTCTGAAATTGCCCTGCTTATCTCTTCTTTTTCCTGGAATGCACAGATTTCCGCGTAAAAAAAAGAATGACTCCTTGAATGCAGATTTTTGCAAAAAAAAGAATAACCCTTTGAATAACCCACTGTGGTTGAGAGGTTTTTTATCCATTTCTGTCAGGAAAAACTACTCCAAAGCTGCTAAGCATACTACATTGTATACGAGAAAATCTTCTAAGTCACTTTTACGCACATTGGTCGACATGCACCATCGATGACGACTGTGACCGGTCCTATAGGCCACCACGCAACCACGACAGTGAGCGTTTTCAACAATATGGTCTCAACTTACACATTCTCAATGACCTCTGTGACAAGCTACCGTTTTCAAATCTCCGATTGGGCACTCCTATTGAGGCTGCCAAGTAGGGCGAGGCCAGGTAGGGCGGGAGTTTACCCATCGGTCCAACAGGGGCGTCCCTCCCCCCTCTCCCCCCACCCAAAGTTTTCGCATTCAGTGTGCTCCCGGTAGCCATTGGCGATTGTTTGAGAAGACCATTTGCTCTAGGCTAAACGATTGTAGCAAACGTACGGAGACTGTGACCTAAATATAGGTTGTGTGCGCCATATTGTCAATTATCACGCCAAGATTCTGGTATACGCCCTCTCTATTGAAGCTTTGAAGCTCATCTGATCTGTTCTGGTACAAGTATAAGCTGTAACATTTTGCCACATTGTTTTCCAACAAATTTGCTCATCACTTTCTGCGAATGATAATGGTGTTCTATGTTCTCGACTGCTGACTTACGGCAGCTCTCTTATGATATGATCTTGCAACAAATCCATTTTTATCACAGCTTCCACAATTTCAGGCTTGTTTTGCTGTAACGCCGCTGTTCCGTTTATGTTTGAATCTGCCGTTTATTTAAACATGCGATTCAACAAACCAACAAATTTTTAACTCTAGCCTGGTAGCTGTTCGCTAACGTGCAGGTCGAAAGCTGCTAGCATCTATAACCTCATTATTTCTTTGAAATGTCAATCCGCCAGCGCATTCTCGGAAATAGATACAAATGGGCAGCTGCGTCTATCGACTGGGTTTTTCCAGGTAATATATTAGGGATCAGAATTCATTCGCAACATTTGTAAGTATATTCGTACATGGGTATTGCTCATCTCCTTTTTTAGCAATACTTCGAAAGCGACGGGACCAACAAAGAAATTCCCATTCTTCAAGTTACTGTACGTTTTCGCAGTTTTTCGATTGCTTTTTTTGTACGTTGTTTCCGACTCCGCTTAACTGATGGGTTGTTCAGTTACTCAAGCAAGCACTTTTCATCACCTTTCCGAGTTTAGCTAGAACAAATTCGTTTCTGTTATTTCTATCTATTTAGTTTTTATTTTTGAGCTTGGCCTGATATATAACGGTCATGTTCCAGCTTTATTTGTTGCGGCGAGCTTAGAATCACAATGCGCTGCTGATGGTATTGTTGGAAACTCAGAACATGGAGGCGAAATTATTGCCGTGACTGGACTGAAAATCAATCGTGACTGTTACATTGGTAAAAGTGGCGCAAAAACTTCAGGGTGAGCTGTACCGGAATTCTGGCGTTCTGCTTCCATGAATTATTCTAGGATACCCATGCTTGTTATTACTGGCTACGAGCTACTATCAAGAGGTCACCAGATTTTTTCTGCAGGAATCAGTCACGCTGGAGATAAGGTTGTTCAACTTGACAACAATTTCGGCCTTCATCATCTATCTCTAGGATACATCCTATGGTTTCATATCCACCCAGTCCTATTCCGTTCCTTGGAGCCCAACCTCAACTGCGAACGAGAGCACATGTCAGTTGTTTCTTGATCTGTTCCCGTCTCTTCGTATAGTAAATACTATTAGATGCATCTCAGCAAGATATTCCTTCAATAGCAGCCCAGATATTTGATAATGCCACTGTCACGCCTATTAGCGTGATTACACCTCATACAAGCAAGTGGCTTATCTGTGGCTTGTGCACGCACAAAGACGACCTGAAGAACACTACCTCACGAACTGCGGCTGGCGCACTCAAGATCACCTTTCTTTCGATATGCTTATAGCTTTATGAAGAGAGTTAGGTTGCAAGGCAAGCGGTCCTGCTTGCTTTTATTCTTGCCTAGGCGCTGTCTGATCATGAACTTCGGTGCTGTTGCGTCCATTGCTGTCGCATTTAGCTTTTTCCTCCCTCTTTCTTGTCTAACACTTCCTGTGGCGTATTCAAGAATTCACAACTTACAAATGAAAACCCGTGGATTTTGCTAAAACTTTGTTCATAGGGACTATTTGACATGGGTCACGCAATGAGATTCGTTTCGTGTGGTAGTGCCTTTTTGAGGAGTTACGATAGGCATACTGTATGTGGTAAAAAACCTCAAATCTTGCTGAAACTCTGTGCAGAGGGGCTATTTGACATGCTGACACGGATATGAGATTCGTTTCGTGTGGTAGTGCCTTTTTGAGGAGTTACGGTAGGCATACGGTATGTTGTTAAAAACCTCAGATCCTGCTGAAACTTTGTGCAGAGGGGCTATTTGACATGCTGACCACGAAAATGAGATTCGTTTCGTGTGGTAGTGCCTTTTTGAGGAGTTACGGTAGGCATACGATATGTGGTTAAAACAGATCTTGCTGGAACTCTGTGCAGAGGGGCTATTTGACATGCTGACCACGGATATGAGATTCGTTTCGTGTGGTAGTGCCTTTTTGAGGAGTTACGGTAGGCATACGGTATGTTGTTAAAAACCTCAGATCCTGCTGAAACTTTGTGCAGAGGGGCTATTTGACATGCTGACCACGAAAATGAGATTCGTTTCGTGTGGTAGTGCCTTTTTGAGGAGTTACGGTAGGCATACGATATGTGGTTAAAACAGATCTTGCTGGAACTCTGTGCAGAGGGGCTATTTGACATGCTGACCACGGATATGAGATTCGTTTCGTTTGGTAGTGCCTTTTGAGAAGTTACGGTAGGCATATGGTATGCGGTCAAAAACCTCAGATCCTGCTGAAACTTTGTGCAGAGGGTTATTTAACTAGCTGACTATTACACTTTTCCCGGACGGAAACGTCTCCCGGTATCAAGTAGATATACGGTATGGAGTCAAAGCCGTACATTTGACTGGACTGGACTCTGGGCTAAAGTTGTCATTCTGCACATTGATCACAAACATTGTAGTTTTCATGCATTTTAAGACCTTTTTGTAGGGTTGTGGTGGTTATGCGGTAAGGTAGGCGCCAGACTAAGCGACTATTCTGTTCAGCTGCAAAAGGCGCACAGAATTGATGTCTGCTGCTTAATGTCTAGGCCTGCTTCAGCTGCAGGTCCTGCGCAGAATCAACATCAATTCTGTGCGCCTTTTGTAGCTGTACAAAATAGTCGCTTACTCCGGCGCCTATTTAAGGGGTAAAAATTGTAGAGCTGCCCGAATTTTAGTGCAAAAATAAGGTTATCGGATGTGCTGATCACGAATATCACGCTCATCACGCATTATAAAGCCTCTCTGTCAATTTTTGGTATCTAAATTGTGCTGCAGAGCAGCAATGGTGCCTACTCATACGCTGCACTTTATCGCACTCCACAATAAGGCGTTTGCAGTGAGCAACCATGGTAATTTTACTTACCATTCTTGAACACCCCTCTAGGTCAAGTCTTGAGCGATTTTGGGACTTTGACTTGGCTCACGTATACCCATCGTTACCCAAGAAAATGGCGACAACTTGCGAATTTGATATGATGTGCATGTTCAGCGTGCTGAATAACACCTCTTACCCAGATACCAGCTAAATCTACGTTTTTGATCTTTTACCATGCAGCTACCATAACCATACAGAGACGTCCTCGTGCGAAACAAATGTGATACTCATAAACAGCATGTCGAATAACCCCTCTGCAGGTTTTAGCAAGTCTGAGGTTTTGACCTCATACCGTATGCCTACCGTCCTCTCAAAAAAGGCACTACCACACGAAACGAATACCATTGTCGTGGTCAGCATGTCAGATAACCCCTGCAAAGAGTTTCAGCAAGATCTGAGGTTTTCGATCCATACCGTATGCCTGCCGTAATTCATCAAAAAAACACTACCACACGAAACGATCCCATTTTCGTGGTCAGCATGTCAAATAACCCCTCTGCACAGAGTTTAGCAAAATCTGAAGTTTTCGACCTCATACCGTATGCTTACCGTAATTTCTCAAAAAGGGCACTATCACATGAAACGAATATCATTTTCATGATCAGCATGTCAAATAAACTCTATGAACAAAGTTTTAGGAAAATTCAAGAAATTCCACTTCTGGGTTATGTATTCTGGAATAGTATCCTTTCTGCTGTCAGTTATTAGCTTTCAGTTACCTGACGCATAATGCACTTTACGAGGGCTGCTTCACTTTTTTGAGACCTTGCGTCATACAGCATGAACGATTGTTGCATGCTTACCACCACACTTCACGATTTGGGACAGTCCTGCAATGTCTTTGGGAGACGGTCAAGAGGCGCGATTTCTTTGGTCACCCACTTAAAAGCCCATTTCTGCACTACACAAATTTTCAAAACAATCCAGAGAAAGTCGTTTAGCTTACTAGCTGTTCGAAGTTACCATTTACTGAGTTTCACGGCTTTTGCTCCAAAAATGAGCGAAATATTCACGAAATTGCCATTATCTGCATTTTCATGGGTTTTTGACCTCCAGTGTTTCTGTTTTGGATCTTTTCAGGATGATAAGATCATACAACTCATGCAACAATCTTCTATAACTTCATAGAAATTTGAAAGGCCCCTAGAACGTTATTAAACATTTGAAATGTGCAATTTGATGTCCGGCTGGCAATAAAAATCGCGCCTCTTGACATACACCCAATGTCTTTTTGCTACTTTTCAGGTGTTCAGCTTTGAGTTCACCGATAAGGATGAAGTGGCTATACGAGTTTCTGCGTTCAACGACGTTGCTGAAAGGGCGTCCGAAATCATTCAGCTTGATTACGTATGTGATTTTGACTCCCCTCGGTTTGTTTCATTGCACCTGTATCATCATCTTTTACAGACTTATTACATAAATGGTGCCAGTGTCAAACAAGCAAACAAACGTTTCAATAACACTGGACATGATTATGAGCTTATCATGAATGCGAGCACTGTGGTGAGTTGTACTCTGTTGCTATCTGATTCCTTTCACGCGTATCTTCAGATTGATCGCTGTCGTGCGGGAATTCCAAAACCGTCACTTGTGCTGAAAATTTGCCTTCTTGATGATGTACCAAGTCATAAAAACGAGAACATCAATGTGCTTGCGGTCGTTGATGAATTTCACCAAGTCAATAAGGTACGTGGTAAGGTACTACTGCAGTTACCGTGCTTTCTACCTGAATTTTTAGTTCACCTCGAGACAGGGCCAAAAATTTTACTAAGCGTGACATACATTTGATCGATCAGTCAAGTTCTGTGGTCAAATTGACATTGTGGGGAGAACAAGCTGATTTTCAAGATCATGTACTTGGCGAAGTGGTGTCTATCAAGGGGGCAAGAGTGAAAGAGTGGATGGGTTTGTTTTCCCTTACTTATTTCGAAAAAAAATTCGTTGTTCTAGGAGCGTTTAGCCTGGCGGTTGGTCCATTATCGAAGATTGTCTTTAGTCCGCAGATGGATGTTGCTCTTTCTTTGAGCGAATGGTACGCTAACAAACGACGGATGGCAGATGTTAAGTCTATCAGCACTGCTTCATTTGGGCGCAGTGATGGATTCGGTAGGTCATTTCAATGCTAATTGATTCGTTGCTGGTTTTTCCGACTTTGCCTTTGTTTCAAACTTTGCTATTTGCCTATTCCCCACTAATATTGGCAAGTAGACCATCTCAAGGTAAGGCTCAGGGTTTTGCGGTTTATTCAACTAATACATGGGAGCACTGAATTTCTGAATTACAAACACCTGCCTACGAATCACCTCAAGTTTCTGAATTATAAACAAGCGGCGCTCTCACTTGCAACAGTTGCTTCAGATCATGACTTATGCCTCATTGGTACGGTGAATGCGCTCTAGCTTGGAAATGAGGTTGCTCTACCCAATGGCCGCTTTATAAATCTCAAAGCTATGCTAACGACGATCAGGACGGATACAGCGCTGTATCAAGTAGGCCTTCTTAACATTTTCCCGGTTGTCCACTTCAGGCGCTTCTGCTTTGCAGAGCTGTCCCAATGATGGATGTTCAAAAAAAGTTGTGCAGTTGAGTGATGGTCACTATAGATGTGGCAAGTGCAACGTGTCATGCAGCACCTTCAAATGGGCTTATATGATTCAGGTACGTTGCTTCTCCAACTAACGGATTTCACCGGATCCATCTGGGTGTCAATCTTCTCTAACGTCGCAGCCAAAATGCTTGGTATGGAGGCGGAACAGTTGGCGGAAATGAAGGCTGCTGATGTACTTAACTTACTAGCTTTGCATCCATCAGCTTGCTCCCGAAAGCTTTTCTTGCTATTTTCAGCATGACGCTTACATCAGGCTACTAACAAGCCTGTGTTTCACGTATTTCAATTGGAGGATCAACGCAAAAACTAACACATATCGTGTGAGTTGCAATTAGTCCTTACAAATTTGAAAAACATTCACATCTACGTTGCAAGTGTTTCACGTTCAGGATGCGACTCGTATGTGTTACTCTGTTCTTCTATGCGACGCCGTACCATCTGACCGCTATATTCCGTTGCTGCAGCAGTCGATGAACGCCTTGGAGCGACTCTAAACTTACGTTTACCTTGCGACATCGTTTGCGACGATGCGACGCCTGTCTATGTCTTTTTGCTGACTTGACATTTTTTTGTTTCTTTTTATCGCATTGTATGTATTCACATTTCTCAGGATGTCATAAATCTCGCACATTCTTCGATCCACAATTTGTAGTGAACAGTGAGTGCCTGCAACAGTTGTTTTCGAAATCTGCATACACACTTACCACTCTGCGTCAACTCCCACCTCTTCAGCTCAAACTTTGCAGAAAAACCATAAAATCGATACAAACAATCGATAATACCAAAACTCAATATTGTTTTCGGAATCGTTATGCCCACTTATCCCCCTCTGCCCACTCTCACTCCCGTAGCTCAAACTTTGCAAAAAAATCAATAAAATCGATAGAAGTAATGGATAATTCTGAAAGTCAATATTGTATTCGGAATCGCCATGCTCGCTTACCCCCCCCCCTTGTGCCTACTCCCAGTCCTGTCGCTCATACTTTGCAAAAAAAATCTATAAATTTGATAAAGGTAATCGAAAATTCTGAAAACTAATATTGTATACGTAGTCAGCATGCTCGACCCCCTGTGCTAACTCCCAGCCCCGTAGCTCGATAAAATCGATAAAGGTAATCGATAATTCTGAAAACTAATCTTGTATTCGGAATCCCCATGCTCGATCACCCCCCCCCTGAGCCAACTCCCAGCCCCGTAAGTGAACTCTGCAAAAAGTCGAAAGAACTCGATAAAAATCGATATCGATAGCTAACGAACAGTACCTATGACACGCTCCCCGCCCCGAATATGTGTGCCAAATTTGGTCCAAATCGGCTCAGAAATTAAATCTATTTCGCACATATACGTATTACATACATTTACATACATAAAACCAAAAATTCAGCTTTATATAGATAACAGGACAGTCCGGAGTGGATTCATAATACGAATTGTTCGCGAAAGATAGCCTCAACAAATGCTATACTCCGTCGTTTCATCTGTGTCAGCTATGCACGACACTAATTTGTTCGGTCAGTTTCCGTTCAGCGCCAGATTTCAGCTTAGATCCTTTTCCTGCCATGATCGAAGACTTATTTATCTTTTATTTATTTTTTTATTTTTTGTTTAAATAAATAAATAAATAAATAAACTTATTCATCTTTGTGAACTACAGCTCGTTCTGTCCCAAAAATTGAAAAAAAGTCGCAGAATGCGTTGCTGAGGTCATACTGGTGAAAATAAGGCTATGTACGCTCTAAATTCGCGTGTGCAAAGCGCCAGTTACAACCATTTCTGTGTTTTACCTATCAACGAAGTATCACCTCGACAGCTTATAGGAATTTACCCAATTGGTTTTCATGCATGCTAGCTTTGCTATGGAGATAGATAAGCTTCAAAACTCTTGGTCTGCCAGTACATGGTGCTACAATGCCATTAAATTTTAGCGCATTACATCTAGATTCGGCTAGCACGACAGTTTCACGTGACTGGCAATACGGCTCGTTCGCAAGGTTGACAAACAGGTCATATACTCCGTCATTCCATCTATGTCCACTGTGTACCAAGCGAATTGTCCGCTTCGTTTTCGTTCAGCGCTAGATTTTCTCACTTTCGATCCGTTTTGACATTATCAGAACCTTTTTTATATTTTTGCCGATTATGTTCTCTTCTTTGAAAATTGAAAGAGTTTCTGGTGGAAATAGGTAATAAATTGAATACTGGTGGAAATAGGTAATAAATTCTGCGCTGCTAAAATGTGTATCATCGGCTCCCAGATTCGTGTGGAGGTGGAGTCTTGCCAACTCACCGCGTGGCGGTTTTTGCTAGCGAGAGATTACGAAAAGCAATGCTATGACGTGGAGGTTTAGCAAGTTTACATGTGTTATCAGGCAAAGTCTGCAATACACCTCCACACGAATCTGGGAGCCGATCATACCTGTACATTTGCGTGCGTAAAGTGCCAATTGCAATTTTTCTTTTGTGCTCTGCCTAACATCACCTCGAGAGTTTTCAAGGTCTTACTCACTTGGTTTCTATGCGTACTCGTTTTGCTACCGAGATGAATAAGCTCCAAAACTTTTGATCTTTTAGCCCACGGTGCTCTGTGTCACTGAAATCTAGCATATTAGAGCAATGGGTTCGTCATCAATCTTGAATGGCTAAACGCATAGTCTAAGGTACCAGCATATCACACCTCATATTTCTTGTGTCATCGACAAGGAGGTCACGGCTGAGGCGAATTATGCCCTACTTCCGATCACCTCCTATATAAGGAGCATAATCACAACTATGGTGCCATTCAAATGCTCTGTACGTTGGCTTAACTCTATTCTCAACACCTATGTTATTCTGATTCTATCTATGTTATTCATGTCTTATAGATTGGATCACTTGCACTGGTTTTTACGGCAAACGAACCAAGCTGCGCTCGTTCTTGGCGTAAGTCAATGCCACTACATTATCTGTTTAGTAACAAATCAACTAAAATTGCAGGTTTCCTTCACATCTATCACATAGCCTAAGCAAATGCTGTACTCCGTCATTTCATCGACTATGTCAACTGTGCACCGCACTTTGTTTGAGCCGTTTCCGTTTAACGTCAGATTTCAGTTCAGATCCTTTTCTTGCCATTATCGAAGTCTTTTCTACTTTTATGAATTATAGCAGTCTCGGAGCTATCCCAGTATCCGGACCCCATAATGTTTTTGTCGTGGACTTAGCTGCAACTTGGTCTAGGTGAGCTATTCGCTCGCTAATGCCGATTATCACACTCCTACAATACATCCACAGCAATCTTAGGCTCCCGCCAGAGTGCCGAAGTTATGCCAACGCTACGCCAGCATTTCGATCTATACACGTGTATTTCGTTGGGGACGTCAGCTAGCCCCGCCCCAACAAAATACACGTGTATCGATCGAAATGCTGGCGTAGCGCTGGCATAACTTCGGCACTCTGGCGGGAGCCTTAGAAAATGGCGCTACCGCGCAAACTCAATCTGATATTCGGCATCAGCGGCCCTAATAACCCTCTTAGGCCAAGTTCCAGCAAATTCCGTGATTTTCACCCTCCCCCTCCCACCATACACCCACCTTCTCAGAAAATGACGTTATACAAAAAACGATGTGATAATCGGCATCAGCGGGTTGATTAATCCCCCCTTCCCCCTTCCCCCAGGTCAAGATTCAGCGAAATCCACAACAAAAACATGGGACCCAGATACTGGAATAGCGTCGAAGTTCCTTCTGTTTAGAACTTGAAGGATTTTCCACATAATGCGTTGGTTAGCGTTATGCTGGTGGTAATGAGGCAGTCAATTTGGCGTTGCTGAAATATGTGTACGCTCCACTTTCGTACGTACAAAGTGCCAGCTGTATCCTTTTTATTTGCTCCGCCCATGACCAACTATCACCCTTGTGAGTTTTCGAGGTATTGCCCACTTGATTTCTATGCATACGCGTTTTGCAACTGAAATAGCTAGCCTCCAGAACTCTTGATAATTCAGCCCATGGTGCTACTGTGTCACTGAATCTAGCGTATTGAATCAATATGCGGATTCCTGGTCAACCTGGGGCTATATGTATAGCTTGAGGTACTAGCGCCTTACACCTCGCATCTCTAAGTGTCATCGAAGACGAGGTCAAGCCTCAGGTAATTACTGTCATACTTGCTATCCAGCAGGACACATTAATTCCAGAGATATTACGTTGCAACGTCACGTAACTCAATAGACCATCAAGACAAAGAAATCCATCTCGACTTCCCATTTACAGCCACCTTGGGGAAGCATAAAGGTTCGTTGTTTTGCGCTTTTATTTGAGTTTTTACGTATGTTTGGAGCTACTGGGTAAGTTACTTTTTCGTGCTGTGTGCTGCTCTTTTCGTTACGCTTACGAGAGCAACAACTCTCCTATTAATTTATCGTGCCTTACACTCAGTATCGCCACTGGCCGCAACCTAGACGTGCGTCAAGTCAAGGTGCAAAAGTGACTACCTTGAACACATATACCTCTACTTCTTCCTCTTTACGGTGTGAATCTTTCATCGGAACATTTGTATATGGTTGTCCGGAAAATAATGTCGCTTTTTGTTTTAACATGCAATATCGCAGCAGGGTGCGCACGAAAGTATGTGAATGGGGTATCAACCGATAGATCAGAGCAAGCTCTACAAAATGAAGCTCGAACCTTCGCGCCAGGTTTGATTTGCGTGAAGTTTGGAGCCAAACTTCACAAGGCACTCAAGATCCGAAAAAACGAAAAAAACCGTATCTCGTTGAGAAAAGTCCTGAGGACCCCTAACTTGCTCACGCATGGACTCACTATACGAGACACTCGTACGCGCATTTTTGAGGTTTTTCCATGGCTGAAAATTGAGAAAACCAAATTTGGCATGTTTTTGCCAAAGCAATCCTGAACTTCTCTCACACGGGTGATTCTGTAGCATGAACCTTTAGGAGTATAACCATGAATTTTTAGCTTTAGATAAGCGCTAGTTTTTGAGAAAAATCAAATTGTTTGCAAAAAACCCGAAAAACACGACATATTCGCACTTTTGACCTCTTTTTATTTCTCGTATTGTAGCCATGGAAAAATACCAAAAACTATATAGGTGAATGTCTAGTGTGGAGAGTACATGCCTGTGCAAATTGGAGATCCCTAAGACGTCTGTGAACGGAGATACGAGTTTTCGAGCGTCTGAAATTTTTTATATTTTGGATTCGAACTTCAGCTGGAGCAAAATCTCCGCGGAGATTCGTGAACTAGCTTGTAGCGCTTGCTTTGCTCTATCGAATGATACCCCACTCGATGTTTTTTGTGGTCATTCTTTCGCGGTAGGATGCCATGCGACATTATTTTCCGGACAACCTGATAGATGCCTTTTCCATATATGTACCGTTCAACCGTGCCCAACTCAGTGAATAAACAGTCTTGTTTCCATTTGAAATGAGCCCTACTCGAGCGGCGCGAATTTGGCGCGAGTGCTAAGTATGTGTTTTGCAATTCTTCCCACAAATGCTCTTTTCTCATGGCTTAGTCTGGGAATAAAAATTCGGCTTTTCCCATAATGTGTTAGAAATTGTGTAAAATAGAATAGTAGGTTTGCACCATTCTTTGCCGCTGTTTGTGTTAGCTTTCTCTCGATCGTAATGCGCTCCCCATATTGCTCATTTTCATCACCATCGATCTCTTACCAGGTGAGACAAGCTTAGAAGACGTACGTGTGCTGCTGTTGAGGACGAGATTTGTAAACATTGATGCTAATTTAATGCTTAGAAAACATTTACTTTTTCGGAGAATTGTTCCCGATTGCCAGAATTTCGAAATAGTTGCTTTTTTAGTCTTTGAATCTGCACCCAATGTTTGCATTGCGGCTTATATCATGGGAGACCGAGATACATGTTTATCTTTAATAAGATTTTCTACTTTCTCATTCTTATGCCACATACCAACTTACTGCTGGTCAGAGAGCTTAAAGTTCAGTGAAAGCGTTCTCCTCAGGAGCTTTCTCGGCTCCACTTCAGTATCATGCGTTCTTTTTTGGGGCTGTTAATACCTTCATATAGTAAATCTATTCCTAAGCCTACAAGTTCTGTCTTTCTTCTTGCAGGCCTTATTCCAATTTCAGAGTTCATTATTCGTTCTCAGTTATCCACTCAAGACACTGCAACGACACTTTTAGTTCAGATGGAGTTCTTCAGCTTTTTTCGATTTTCCAGGATGATTGCGTGACGATTTTGTCCGCGGTGTTTCCATTTGTTATTGAGCTTGAGCGCTTAAAAATGTGCTGTCTTTGCATGATTCAAAGGGGTGTTGTTGAATCGAGATATTAGTGCACTACAGTATCCAGCCAATCTTTCGGTGCTGGCAGTTTATTGCCTAATAATGACTGGTTCTAAAGATTTGCCACAGATGGAGTTTAGTCTTAGTACTTTTCTGCCTCTACATAAAGAAGATGTATGTTGTAGACGTGTATTATTTTCTTTATGGAGTTCATGCCTATAATTTAGCATAAGGAGTTACTTACAAGGGAAGTTCGCCGAATTGAAATGGCCGATTGATACGTGGTATACACTCGGACGCGGGGCTCGGGAGGTTAGTATCAAATGTGCTCCCATTAGCTGCGACGCGTTATTGTGAAGCAAGTTATGGCCCTCTGAAGTTTTTGGCGTGTGCATATCTAGAGTACGCACAAATGCTCCGATTGTGGTCGTGTAATGTAGTAGTTAGCGTCTCGAACTCACAGGTGACCGGTGAGGGTTCGAATCCTGTTGCTGTCCACATGTTTTGCGTTCTTCTCAAAATTCATTTTTTACCTGTTTTATGCATTACTGACGTAAAAAATGACACATACGGGTGGTTAAACTCTACTAATTACACATCCTGCCGTGTCATTCTCACAAGGTAGCCCATTAGCAAGAATAGATAGTACGACGTGATACAACTTAGAGATTGTCACGTAAATACTACGTGCAATCGAAGAAAGTATGTGGGAGTGAGGATTTGGCAAATCTTCAAAGTCAATTGAAAAGCCGTCGCTAAAAAGTCGTTGCTATTATATGTTCTACGAAAATCTTACATATGAAGCATTAGTCGAATTTTCGTGAGAAAAATCATTCCGTAACCCGTGTGTGTCATTTTTTACCTCAATTATACATAAAACAGGTAAAAAATGATTTTTGAGAAGAACGCAAGACATGTGGACAGCAACAGGATTCGAACCCTCACCGGTCACCTGTGAGTCCGAGACGCTAACCATTACACCACACGACCACAGTCGGATCATTTGTGTGTTCTCTAGACATGCACACGCCAAAAACTTCAGAGGGCCATAACTTGCTTCACAATAACGCGTCGCAGCTAATGGGCGCACATTTATTACTAACCTTCCGAGCCCCGCGTCCGGGTATATACCACATATCAATCGCCCATTTCGATTCGGCGAACTTCCCTTGTTAGTTAGATTCTGCTTCTGTCGTTCATATACAGTTCATGCACATCGTTTACCGTTCTATTCCTTGTGGATGAACAATTTCGTGTTCCATTTAAGGTAAGCTTTACTCGAGCGGCGCGAATTTGGCGCTAGCCCTATGCATCTCTTCCCATAAATGCTCTTTTTCTAGGCTTACTTGGGGATTAAAGCTTGGTTTTTCCCATATTCTGTTAAAAAACATGTAGCATATAAGAGGTTTGGACGTTTCTTTGATCGCTACTTTATGTTTGCCTTTTCTCGATCTAATATTCGCCATATGCGCCTTTTCGTGTAAGAAGCCAGGAAGGTGCGATTCGCGTTCTCCGCACTTCTCAGTTTCATCTTTGAAACAAGCGCAGGAGGCACACATTCTGGTGCCACTATTTGACATAAACATTAGGACCACTCTTTGTTGCTAATAAACATCAACTGTTCCGAAGAATTGTGCCTAACTTCCAGGATTTCCAAATGCGTCTTTTAAGCTTTGGATTTGCAACCAGTGTTTGTTGCGGCTCATATCACAAGCGACGGGATAAATGTTGTGCTTTCAATAGGACTTTTTACATTTTGGTGATTCACTGCTGTCTGTCATTTATTAACTTATTGCTGGTCAGAGAGTCAGACGCTCAGTAAAAAGTTCCTCCCAGCAGTTTTTTTTTGGCTTCACTTTAACATTCTTCGCATGCATCCTTTCTGCGGCCTGATTATGGATCCTTCTCATAATAGATCTATTCCTCATTCTACAAGTTTCGGTGTAACGTTTAGCATTCGGAATAAATTTGGTTTCCCTTCAGCTTTTGACTTTTCTGCTTTCTATAGATTCGAAAAACGATGATGTTTTTTTTCTAGCGAAAAAACCACAAGATGCCAGTTTGGTTTCCTCTTCAACTCAATGCACTTCGATTCACAAGTGATATTTTTGTCCTACATGCTTAGTACACTCTATATTTCGATTAGCTAACTTATCGTGAATTATGTCTTGTTGGTTATATCAAGTGTGTTTCAACATTATTAGCGTACTGCCTGACACTAAATACTATCTCGATTTATAAGCTTCAACTTTTGTCCGAGTGAGAAACTTCTTGACGTTATGTTGCTTTATTCTCTGGGTCATGAGTCCAAAGCGTAACTTTTTATATAGTGTTGCTGTAATTGAGCATGCATATCTTTCTTCGTTCCCCTATCCATATTGGTTTTTCGACTAATGAATCATGCTGGTCCTTGTAATTTCACGCGACAGAGATAAGGAGGATTGTTCGACAGAGATAAGGAGGATTGCTCCTTCCTTAGTGATATAGCGCATGGAATATAACCAAAAAATATGCAATAGAAGATTATCGAAGGGCACGCTCGCAGAAGAAGTGCAGAGAAGTGAGGCTACGCGAGATTCGAGCTGCTTGAATTGGCTCACTATTGATCGTAATTATGTATTCACTAACGAACTTTATAGATTGCGGAACTATTGGCTAAGCTTAACTCACAATATCGACAATTACGAAGTTGGTGGGTTAGCGAAACCACTGAAGCATTTGTGAGCTTTGTTCGAATCACGCCGATTCGCGAACTCATGCAATGCACACCCATTGGTTTCGCAACCTACTGGGTTTGTTAATAAATGTGGTAACATGTATGACGAGGATTGCTATAATTTCAGGAGCTTGTTATGTTTTGCTGTTAGATAAAAGTAGTTTCCAGTTGCAGATTGAGTGCTGTTTTCGTAATGCTTACGTACTATATTACGCACTTATAAGTGCAGAGGTTGTTTGAGAATGGTTGCTTGAATTACATGCCATTAACCATCACGGCAAATGTAGGCTCTCAAACGCGCTCAACCTCGTCTCTCATCGTAATCCGCGTAAACCTGCCCGAAACCGCAGACTGATATATGGAGATAACAAGTGTGTGCAATTGCATCTTTGAATTACTGCATTATTGCTTGCTGCATATTGGATTTTTGAGCTACGTGCACTATTGTCTATTTGTGCAATGTTTATATTGATTTTAAACATATCGACTGTATTTTGCATGAAAATTTTTCTAAGCCGACGTGGCGGGTACAGAAGAGTGTAGCTGGTTTAGGGGCTTGCGGTGGTAAAGGTTACTCCGTGCGCTGTCTTATGCCTGTCATACGGGCGCCGAACTTAAATATATAGATCCCAAAATCCATACTCTTCGAGATTTGCCCACTATGCTTCTTCGATGATACAAGTTGGCGTTAAGTCAGTGACTTGAGTAATTGTAACAAATTGACTTGTAACAAAAACGGAGATGAATTGCTTGGATCCGTTTATTCTTCAGTAACAGATGAGAGACAACAAAACATTGCTACAAGTACCATTGGCTGACAATCCCGATAAGCTGCTTCTATCTGTAGGTTGCTACGGATTAGCACATTTACGAAACTGATTTATGAGAATAGAGGCTTATTACAATTGCATCTTGCCTTAGTTGCATATACAAGATAAAAAAATGTTGCTGATTATATACGATTTACGCATAGCACAGTGATTAATCCAGTCGCAAAGGTAAGTTTTCGTAAAACACTCCAAATGTACACACTATGGACGACGGATGAGAGAGTAATGCTTATCATCTGTCGTGTTCTGGAGACGCCCTTCACTGACGAACATCTGCAGATTATCGCGCAGGATGTCCATATTGTCTGCTTTTACAGCCTGTACACACCCGATTTTACATTATAACTATATTAATGTAGAGATGAAATTCTCACCTTTCCTACGAAATCCTCCGACAAGCCAATATCGGCATCGTAATTATGCCTCTTCCACTGGAAGAGGTCGACAATCTAAAGCTATTCATTTCTTGCAGATGGAACTTGTTCGATGTGTAAGCTTATACATACTTTTTCAAGCTGTTTGTACATCTCTTGACTATTGAGCGATGTTGACGTTGAAGCATAGAACGGATTCGTATTATATGCTGGTAGAGCCTGAATAAAATTCACCATGTACGAAAGCTGCTAATAACAACATACCATTCTTCCGAAAGCGATTCCCAAATTTGCAGGAGGCCCAAAGATTCCGCATGATCCCGCCTTCATGCCACTATGCAACATCCAGGGCACATTCTGAAAACACTAACCCTTAGTAGAAGATTACTAAAAATCATCATTGGTGTCGTACCTTGCTGTAATAAAGATTCGCGGCCTTGGCTTCGAGTAGAAAAGCTTCATACTCCAGCTCATTTGAAACTTCTCTTACAGTGTACGACAAAATGCCTATATGCTTGAGGTGTTTGCTCAATCAAGATAACAATCAAGATTATACACGTACCGTGTCTGTTGTTCGAAAAACGGAGCAGACCTATTACAAGCACTTTGGCCCCTTCACGAAAAATGATCCTTCCAGCATTTCATCGGTGTTGGACATCTGTAGACTAGGATTGAACAAACCAACTACTGATGCGCTTAACAACCTACGGTATTATATGTGAATACTTCGAATTCTTTGCTCATTTCGTTAGGATCTGCTAATGCATGAATGGTCATGTTTTCTTGAATCATTGCGGTTTTGACAATCCCTATAGTTAACGCCTAAACTGTTTTGACTAAACTTCTATGTTGCCATAGTCATACTACACCAGTCAATAAAGTAAAGAAATGCGTTGAACTGACCGTGTTGAAAGGGTAATCGCCATACGAGATTTACTCTTCAACACTTGCAGCAGAAACAAGCGTTGCGATAGTTACCGGTACTAGCAGCTTTCCAACAGCTATAGCTACCGGCACCTCCTTTTGAGCGTAGCAGCGGTTGCCGATTTGTCAGCCGAGTTCTTGGCCATAGAAGCTACAATTTTATATGTGCGTGTATGTGCGTGTATGTTTCTCGAATATGTTTTTACTGTTTAATAGGTGGGATTTTGCATGTTTTTCAGGCAAGAAAGATATTCATGATGAAAGAATGAGGGGGTTGACGAAACAGCTCTGAGATACGACAGTCTGGTGCTTTCATCCTACAGCCATAGAAGTATGCAGCGATGCTGAAGCGCAATCTCTTCATGTTAAACAAAGATGCTGGTTAGATATAAACAAGGAAGTCATTTACTACACGAGATTAAGCGCTAACAAGGAAGACGTATGACTCAGAGACTGTCGAAATACAGCTGCTTGAGATGGCTCCCACGATACTTGAACAGTGTTGAAACACGGTTGCGAAATATTAGCCCCTGTCATATTCACACAATTTTAAACCCCAGGCTAATTCTGAGCTTCCAAGAAGTAATGTGTTGTCAAAATAAAAGTGAACGAAGCAGTTCCTTTACATAAAGCACCCGTGTAAATCTTTGTGTCTAGAGAGCTTTAATCTGACCGAACGTGGTTGTACCGTAAACATTCTGGGCGGTTGTAATCTATAATGTAAATTTTCACGTAAGGATAGCGAATGCGTAGGAGTTATATCGGTCGTGCCGCTGAGTCTTTACGGGATGTTCCTCAAATCAATTTTGCACACACAAGTATGGTTAGACACATCTACGGAAGATATCGATGAATTGGCTTCCATACTTGAATCCACTTTATTTGTAGGCATAAGAAAGTGTCGCATCTCATTTGCCATCCGCTGTTTGAGTTACTGCAGGCATGCAATATTTAGCTGCTATCCGCAGTTGACATTTCGGTCGGAACTTTGGAATAGTTTTCAGTGCTACCATTAAAGTCGAAACTAGCTTTCTCGCAGTCACCTTCTCATCCAATTCAGAAGTGCGTACATTTGACATCTCCCACTTTTACATAAACACGTTACTGTTAGCACGCAGTCCGTGACTTGCCGGTAAAGGCAGTCTACACTCACAGATTATTCCTTGACAAGAGTTAAAGTTACAATCTGCTACAACTCGCAAGCTTCTATAGTGTGCCTATGTTCAGGTTACTTTCCAGTACTATGCCTCTTCGATTACATACACATACACAGTGTTACAAATTCTTTTACTTGTACGCATATAAAAGAAGACTGAAATATCATTGCCAGCAGTCCTCTCATACATTGCATTCCACACCTGTAAAATTGAGGTTTGTTGCTTTATTGATATATAGGCTTACCTCTGTGTCTTCTTTAGTTAACGGTCTTTCCAATGAAAAAAATGTATCGCTATCCATTGCTGCATGTTGATTGAATCGTAAACAATCCAACTTTAGAGGCTACATTAGTTGCATTTTTTGAATGCTAGATGAGTGTATGTTTTGTTCTTTATAGATTTAAGGCACATTTTTCATGGACGAACTTTCAATCGTAATTCATAAGGATTGCTTCACTGCAACTGTGATGCTAGCGTCACATCACATCATGCATAAATTGCCCCTTCGAAGACTATCGTTTTGTTTCCTCATTACCTGCCCTATTTTTCCTTCATCACAGTTTCGCTGGCACAGATTTTGAGAGCGGTTAAGCCAGAGAAGTGCATTCCTTAGAGAGGAAGATCTTACCAGCGTATACTTCTGGTTTCTGAATAGCCCTGCTTCATACTTCTAGCCATCTTATTCTGCGATTTTTACTTAGCGAAACACTTCAACATACCTGGTTCAGGATACTGTTCGCTGTTGAACGGTCCCTAGCATTCGGTAACACAGTTTTTTGAAACATTTTACACTGTATTCTTCCAGTACGAGACGAATTCGAGTATCAAACCTAATCTATTCCTTAGCTTGATAACACATAAGGACGGTTAGTTATGCTATTTTGTAAACCTGTATGATTTTGTATGCTATAGTTTTTCAGATTAAGTGGGCTTTATCAAGCAAAATTATAAAAAAAAGGCCACGGAGGTCATAGAAGACAAGCTCTAAAAATTCCTCAAATATAGTGCATCTCGCAAACTGACAACACATAGAATGGTAAATCGTTTGTTGAAATTGTCTTGATTTGGATTTTACACAAACAAAATAGCTTCTGCCGGGAACTTTAAAAGCTTTCCGCTAAACACAAGTGATAAAGGAAAGTCAACTTGTTGCCGAGCCGACAAATAGCTCCTTACATGAAGTTTAGAAAGAATTCGCGGTACTCACCTCATATCGTATCCAACGTAACTTCATGGAAGGTCTTACCATATGGATAGCTTATCGTGTTTGTGTAGCATGTCCAGTAACCCTCCTGCGCATAGTCGCAGAATTTTAAGATCCTGATCCCATACCATAGCCCTACCGTAATCCTACTACAAACAAAACAACCTTGTGTCAAATGGATATGGTATTCGCTGTCAGTAGCCGAATAATCCCCTCCTCCCGTGCAAAGCCAAAGCTCCATGGCCTTAATTTCCGATATGAATGTCATTTTTATGAATAGCAAATTGAACCCCCCCCCCCCTTCTTCAGGCGTATTCTCATCAAAATCCGAGCTCTTCAACCTTCCGGTTGCATCAAGCGTACTGCGCTCCCACGACATCTCAGCAGTGTCGCAACAGCCAGATTGTCCTATGTAACCATCCTGATACTACAAAAACAGTTCTTGTTCAATGGCCGTATGCATTGACATCCCTGCCAGGAAGGGGTTCGCAGCTTAAATGAAACTTCCTATCGTGAAGCTCCAGATATTTGCCTTCCACTCCCCACCTATCAGCCAATACTACCACCATCAGCCTTCGGCGAAGATGTTGAGCAGGATTGAGAAGCTAGCTGTATAAGCCGATTCCTGACGATTTTAGCGGCCGACAGTTCTTCTTCAAAATCTTTTCCCTCTCTTCGAAGTTAACTGAACCGTTTCAAGGTTGAACTGATTAACCAAACCAACAGTGATAATCATGTTGCTGATAAGAACAAATGATGCACTGATGTCATGAAATTTGTTATGGACCACAACGCGACAGTTGGGGTTTACCGACAAATTCGCTACTTCAAAACTCATCCGTTCCTATTAGAAGCATGCTTGAAATTCCTCGGGCAGATAATCAGTAGAAATTTGGCACGCTTTTATTAACAAAGGGAGAAAAAACTTTGGAAAAAACAAAAATCTTCGGCCGCTGGGGCACACCAGGGGATCATACAAAAAAGCTTGAAAATGTGGCTTGTGTAGCTTCTCGCTCCTGTGCAGTATGCTCATAGCTAAGGACGGCGGGATTACTTGCGGATAAGTTGTCACGTGATATCCAGATATCTGGAACTTTAAATCATGCAACTTTATTTTCTACTGCGATCTCCTCCCCAACGCAGATGTTATTGGATGCGGCCCTAAGCATGACCATCTGTTGTTTCACGCATTGCTTCTGTCGATTTGTAATTTTGCGACAGACGGCTACTTTTTGTAATTAACTTGAACGCACTGTCCTGCACCAACTGCTATCTTTCCAGCTCAACTTTTGCGTAAATTGTTGTAGTTGGTGAGATCGATACAAAATCATGATGTATAGATATATCATTCTTAATCTCGTGTTCTCATACATTCTCGTGTCTATCTAGCTTCCTGAGTCTGACTGTAAAACTGAGTAATTAGATAACAACGGTGTTCGATAGTTTTGACAGTATTGATATAGGATGGACGATGTGCATCTTGTCGCGTCATCAGTTCACTACATCTACTTTGTACCTGTTCTCCCATTCGAAAAGAAATGTTGGTAACTGTTGCGCGTGCTTCAGAACGAACATAGAGGCGAATACGCAGTTGTGAGCAGCGATATGGTGTTTCCATAAATATTTCTTTGCTCAACGCTCTGATGCTTTCATGAAGTGTACGGAACTCTCTTCAGCAACATACCATAATGTATCTATTTGGCAATAAATTCGTATAATAATACAGTATAATCGAAAGCGGGAACAACCTTGACGAAGACTCCAAGTTCTCTGTGTTAAAACTCACGTCAGTTACAAATACTTGATTATGTTTAGCGCATGTATAGGTAGAACATATATACACATATAGAGGCTACTGTATGACGAAGGCGTAGAAGCGATTATAGTCGCGCGGTCGCGAGCGCGGCAAGCGCGTATTTCCACCGTTGTAAGTCTTGCACATCATGCACTCTGCGGCTAATATAGCCGCGTTCGCGCCCCAAAGATATTGCGCCTTCGTCATGTTATAGCCATCCCGACGTTAGCTTCTGTAGTGTATACTCATACGACTGCAAATTCGCCGTAATTAATTGAAGAATTGTTCACGTCGTCTATACTGAATCGTACCTATAGTCACAAATGGCTGCGAAGAGCGCGCCCCAAGTCCCAGTGCAAATCTGTATTCCGCACGGGAACCCTGCGATCAAGCGCACATACGCTATAACTTTCAGCGCGAAACAAGTGACACTAAAGGAAAAATAACTCCCTTCGGCAGTAGAATCACAAAAATAAGTGCAATAGTGCAACTGGTCACTTTTAACGTGCGATGATCTACCTTTCATCTCTTGCCATCTATAATAGATCATCCATTGATATAGTGCCTCAAGAACTTAGCAAGGATAAGAAAGTAATGATTTGTTTGTGTCTAGACAGAGGGGGTTTCTTACTGAACACGTTTCTTATGCGGCAGTTATAAGAAGAAGAAAGCTGCGGATCCAAATGTCATGAGGCAAGTAACATTCATTCTG